TCCTGAGTGCATCCACCAGGTGACAGAGATACAAGGGTTCAGTGATGACCAGAAAGAGGTTTATTTTACGAAGAGATTTAGTGATCAGAGCCTGGCCAGTAAGATTATCACACATGTGAAATCATCAAGGAGCCTCTTCATCATGTGCCACATACCTGTGTTCTGCTGGATTTCAGCCACTGTGCTTGAGGGGTTTTTTAGTGAGACTGGCAGTGGAGAAATTCCAAGGACTCTGACTGAAATGTACACACACTTCATGATCATACAGACAAGTTTTACAAATGACAAGTATAGGACCCTCGAGACCCAGAATACAACAAGATGGTACCGAAAATGGATGGCTGGATGTATGAAAAACAATGAAACCAGGCTTATTAGAAGCTCTAAATCTGGCAAAAAATTTATTGTAAAACTTGGTAAATTGGCTTTTCACAAGCTTAAGAAAGGGAATCTCATATTTCATGAGAAAGATCTGACAAAGAATGATATTGATATCAATGAAGCTTCAGTTTACTCTGGATTGTGCACAGAAGTCGTTAAAAAGGAATATGGGTTGTATCAGGATAAGGTGTACTGCTTTGTGCATCTGAGCATCCAGGAGTATCTCGCTGCTTTGTATGTGTTTCTGTCAAAGTCATCAGCTAACCTACTGAAGACTGCAGTGGATCAGGCATTAGAGAGCAAGAATGGACACTTGGACCTCTACCTCCGCTTCCTCCTGGGCCTCTCAACAGACCCCTGTCAGAATCTGTTACAAAGGCTACTGGGAGAGACAAGAACCAGCTCACATAACATTAAGAAAATAACCAAATACATCAAGGAGAAAATAGAAGAGGATTTATCTCCAGAAAGGACCATCAACCTGTTCCACTGTCTGAATGAACTGGGTGACAGTTCTCTAGTGGAGGAGGGAAAAAAATACCTAAATTCAGGAAGCCTTTCAGCAGAAGACCTCTCACCTGCACAGTACTCAGCTCTGGTCTTTCTGATGCTGATGTCAGATGAGGAGCTGGATGTGTTTGATATGAAGAAGTTCTTCAGAAGTGATGGAGCGCAGTTGAGGCTGCTGCCTGTGGTCAAGAACTCCAGGACGGCTCTGTAAGTGACGTGGGGATGGAGATCATGTCTGGTTTGGCAGTAATACAGTACAATCCCGTTATAATGGACTTTAAGTGACCTGGCAAAACAGTCTGTTATATCCAAAGTCTGTTATATCCAGAGTTGCTGTATGCCCAGAACACAACTACAGAACACCATTTACTCCTGCCACACCCCAGCAGACACACTTGTGGTATAGATTATTATATTGTACAGTCAGTAATCCAACTTTGCCTGATCAGATGCGTGACTATTAATAATCCCGACTGCTGTTTCTGCGCTGGATATCACCGGCACGCCACGCGCATTGTA